ATGCCGTCATCGGGCTGAGATTCAGCTGGTGGACGGGAGAGTGGATGGGCACAGAACTCAACACTGAGGTAGGAAATGCAAAACACGAGCCTTCAAAGTTTTTGCCTAATGTCAGTTCTTCTGCAAAGAAAGAGGCAGCTTCTCTTTTGCATGACGCGATAGGGGGGCTGGGAGTAGAAGACAAGATCTCCGACTCATATTGTAGCAACTGGCCCATGAAACCAAAGTTTGGTGAGATCAGGCTCCGTCGCTGCTTGATGTAATCGAAGGCTTCCTCCAGGCAGAGCTTCTTTGTCTTCATGAGATATGCCATGCAGATGGTGGGAGAGCGTGAAATCCCTGCTTCACAATGCACCAGGATCTTGCCCCCTGTTCGTCTGACATAATCTAGGGGGAAAAAAAGTCATTGCAGATGTCAGTTGTCATTGGGAATGGAGAATGCACTGTGACATGCACCCAGCATTGGAGGTGGAGCATGGCACACAGCCAGCCCACCAGCAAGGGGAGGCTTGCTCTTCTGTTGGGTACTAAGGGTTAACATGGAAATTGAAAGAGAAGGGGCACAAACCCCAGATTGAGATGGAGCTGAGCTGCAGATGACACTTTGTTTCAGAACCTGTGGATCCTGATTTGCTTCTTTCTCTGTTTTTTAAGGGAAGTCCTTCCCTGTCTCCTTCCCACATGCCTATTTCTCTTTTGGAACAACTGACTTTGCAGAGCATTGTGAGACAGAGATCAGGTGTCTGAACAACGCCTGCGTTTGCTGTACCTGCATTTCTCTGCTGTACCTGCATTTCTCTGCCTGCACATCAAAGTGCTCACCCAAGCCCAGCCCGGCCAGCCCTCCCACCATTAAGTCTTTCAAAAGCTTCTCATCAGCTTAGCTAGAAAACTGGGAATTTTCCTTAAAATCTGAACCTATCTCCCTGCTTGGCCAGTTGTCAGCAAACGGTGGTACCGGGAGGTGAGCCCTTGGTGGTATCCTTGGGTGGGGAGGCTGAGCTCACTCCCTGGGGCCTCACCACAAAGCACACAGGGACTGGTAGGCAGTTGCTAATTACAGCCTGGTTAAAGGATGCTTGGGACTTAAGTCAGGATATAAAAGGCTTATGCAAAGCACCATTTTACACAACAGGAGCCACTGTGGTTACTCACACAACACAATGATTGTTATTAGATTAAAGAGAGAATGTGCTTAAAATAAGCCCTTTCCACACAAAAATACAGTTCAAAAATAGATGTTCTCTGCTCTATTGCTTTGAGCAATATGTTCAAGCTCCAATTTATGGATAACTGCGCCAAGCCTTGTGCTCAGTAAAACAATGCAGAGCTGAGCAAGTTATCATTTGCCTGTCTTCAATTGTCTGCCGGGGGAATGGTGCCACCATGACCGGTTATATTTAACTACTGTACAAAATAAGGAAGACATGGATTTGAGTCATCCACAGCATCTACACCACACGCCCAGTTTTAAAAGAAAGTGAAAACTACAGTCATCCTCAGAATCTGGGAAATTTCCAGGTGACTCAACAACTATCAGAAGGGGTTGAGGACGGAACAGAAGAGGGCTGTGAATTAGCATTTCCCTGAAAGGTGTGAGAAGTCCCTTCCCAGGAAGCAGAAGGGCTCAGATAGCACCCTCAGACCAGGTTTTTGTAATTCTGCCTGCACTGTTGCAGGACTCAAAATCAGCTGAGCAATGAGTCCAGTGAGTCTGTAACTGGGGTTTTATTCTGTTTCCCTCTCACACTTGCTCTGTTCCTGGAGGGCAGTGACACTGATTTCAACACCATCTCCACCCAGGCTCGGGCTGCTCCACCCCAGTAAACCACCCCACACCTCTCCGGAAGGAGCCTCTCGCTCCCTTGAGCTACCTGGCATGGCAGCATGCAGCTCACCTACCCAGCCCAACACAGGCAGATTTGGGAGATGGCCCAAAGTTCTCTAAGGGCTTCCAAGGAGAAATGGAGGGAGCTCTATGATAAGGGGAGATGCTGGATTTCCAAGACCCTGGGCTTTGGGATGTCTCAGCACAGCAAGGCACCAAGCTGGCTCTGCTTCACCTGGCTTTTACAGGGTCTGGCATGCAAGTCCAAGAACCAATGTTTTTTTCCTTTGCAAAAATCAATAGAATTTGGTGTTATTCAACCATACTTCTTTGCTCCCTGTCATGCTGAACTTACACCTACACTTGCTTTGAAAAGAAAATAAAACTAACCAGCTCACTCCCCTTGCCTGCCTGACAGCAGTGGTCAGTCAAGCGGCGTTTTCCTTCCTTGGCCTCCCAGCCCAGAGAGAAGGTCAGAGATCTTACTCTGAATGTCCCTCTTCCTTCCTTCCTTGTGGAATTCCCTCTACTAGGAGGTGTGCTGGGGAAGGGAGGGAGCTTAAACTTCTGTATGTTCCCAGATATCACAACAAAAAATAAGGCGTCCTTCCCACCAATATGTATTTGAAAATAAATTAATGTAAAATACACAAAGATCTGGATATTTGTGAATTTGGACCTACCAATGAAGTCAATAGCTTCCTGGAAGTGTGAGCTGATGTCCGCTGTGTGACTGTCCTCCACCGGGATCCACTTGTAGCAATACTGGTCTTTGAAGGACTCCGACCTTTTCCTGGAGACGTTGAGCAGGGCTGTGATGTGCAGGTTGGCGAGAAACTCACACTTGGAAGCGTGATAGGCACTACCAAGGTAGAGAAAAGGCAGGATTTCGACTGGACCACCCTGGAAGAGAAGGAGCAGAAACATGTAATTCCATTTCAATGAGTCCTGATACCCAAAAGAGAGGCAAAGGAGCCTGCGTGGGTGCCCGTTCCCTCCCTCGCTGGTGTTTTTGGACCCCAGTGCTGCCAGCCAGTGAATCACTGCGATGGCAAAGCCCACGCAGGAAAAAGTTTTTAATTTTCTTGTCCACATCTGTGAGGTACAAAGTCAGATCCAGCCCACTTGCGTGCAGGATGTTTCCGGCTTTCTTTGAAGTGCTGCCCCTCAGGATGCACCCAAAGCACTTTCATATGAAGCCCGTTCCCTCTGAGGCTTTACTGAAATACGGGTGAAGTGGAGAGCCACATCCCAGCAGGGAGGAAGAGGACAGAGGAAGGGGCAGCGCTAGCTTAGCCCAGGGCTCAGCCCCTTCGCTCACACCTCTAAAGGTGAAACAAAGCAAAAAAACCAGAGCAGAGCTCCCCATCCCCACCCCATCTCCCTGCGGCGCAGCACCCACAGCATCACCCGCCCCGAGATCTCATCTCGCTTCCTCCTTCCTCAGCACCAGCAAAGGCTGGGTGAGGAGACCTCAAAAGAAAAAAAAAAAAAGCCACTGCCTGACACCAGGGTTTTGGAGAGTGCAGGTAACTTTCCATGATGCACAACAGCTGCTGCCAGCCCTGGGTGTGAGACACCGGCTTTCCAGCCCCCCAAGCTGCCCCACACCAGGGACAGCTGGAGCCACCTGGGGTGACAGGACAGAAGCTGGGATGAGGTGCTCCTGGGGGACCCAAGGGGCATCGCCCAGGGCTCCCCCCGTGCCAGGAAACGCCGCACCGGCGGAAGTGGCCCAACCGCAGGGTGACATCTCGGAGCACACGTATTCCCCAGGCGGGACGGGTGCGGGGGCACGATGACTTCCCCTGTGGAAACCCCGCTCCCCTCCTCACTCAAGAGCCACTGCCTCTTCTCAGAAGCAGCCCCACGGCCCTGGTCCCCTCTGCCAACCTCTCCCCTGCCTGTTCTCAGTCTCCTGCTCATGCTGCCTGGCTGTGTGATGAAGATGGGTCACAAATACACTTTTGGGGCTTAGGCAGGTTTTTTTCCTCCTTTGGCTGCCACGTTTTGAAGCCAGGCAGAGGTGATGCTGACCAGCAGCACGCACAGGGCATTTTATTTGACACACAGGCTGCCAACCTTGGCTGTGACAACTTATTGACAGCCTACACTGGCACGAGGGCCCCCGGCACCCTGCCAGCCTGCAGCAGAGCCCAGCAGCAGGAGGGAGAAGACCCAAGGGGAAGGTGACCTGCGGTGGCTGTGACACACACCTGGTCGTACGCGGGTTTGTGGTTGGCACCCTGCTTCTCACAGTGGCCGGCGAGAGTTCTCTCCACCTCAGTCCTCTCTGGGGAAATGAGTTTTCCATCCACGCAGAACTCAGGATATTGCGAGTTAAAAGTTTCATATCCCCCTAGGGAAAAAAAAAAAAAAAAAAAAAGAGACATAAATAGAGACATAAATGTTTGTGCCTCCAAAACCCGGTTTAATTAAAGTGGAGAAGAAATGAAGCTCCAGATCTTGACACACGGTGGGATAGTGCCGCAGGGCAATGGGCCCCGGGGGGTTAATGAGCGACAGCGCTCCCCCGGGGAAATGGGTTTGTTTAAAAGGCTTCGGCACCTGAAGAAAAACCTTGATACGGCTGACAATTATTAACTTGCCGAAAGCCGGTGGATCCAGATTAAAACTCTTAGCAAATGTAATTCTGTTGAGTCTAGCAACCATTAACTCCAGTACAGGGGGGACTAAAGTCCCTCCCCCAGGTTTTATATGCAAACACTACTTCCAGCATTGGAGATGGAGATTTCTGTACTCAGTCATCCTCTCTAAAAGTGTCATTACTATATACAGTGTGACAACACAAGAAATATTCTATTTGCATTTTTGAATGGACACAAGCACAAGAGGGGGATGTTTGCAACTGTGTCATTAATCACTGCAATGCATGAGATAGAGCGTTAATGAAGACAGTCCCACTGAAACCAACCTATTAAGTAACAGCTATAAAACTTAATGAAATCCTGCGACAGCATTTGACAACTGAATAGCCCCACAGGAGCTATTCTGCATGGTTAAGAACTGCAGTCGTTTCATTCAGTGAACTGCTAATGAAAAGGAATTAATCCTATTATTACATTGTTACTCAAAGTTTGTCGTCAGCTAAATCGTTGCCTGTTTCCAGGCTGGAAATATCCTGCATAGAAGCACACAATCTCCAAAATGAACATGGGTAAGTCAGGTAGCAGAAGCAGCCTGGAAATGTCAGCGGTGAGCCACATGTCTGCCACCTGGGCTTTTTCAGAAAAGGCATGAATGGTGGGTGAAAGCTCCTGAACAGCTAGATTCAATAATTCTTTGAAGTGTGGCCCTCAAGTAAACAAGGCTCAGAAAGCAAACCCTCCCGTGTGATTCATTCATCCACAACTGTTTCGCCCTGATAAGCCCTGTTGGTGTGGGTGCCCTGGTGCAAGGAATGGTTTCAAAAGAAAGAAAGTGATGAAGATCTGAGCAGCCACAGGGCCCCTGCCACCTGCGCTGCCAGGGCTGCCCGGTACAGCTACCTCTGACATTTCAGCCCTGTAGCGCTGGTGTCTCATTTGTTTGCAATGTTTGAGCAGATGTATGCTCAGATTCATGACGTGCTCCTGTCGCCCACTCAGTCCTGCCGTGGGGTCCTCGTGTTGCAAGCAGCTGCCAGGATCTAAAGCCCACTGAATGTGATGAAAGCCTATTTTCCATGACAGAGGGCAGGAGGGTGACTTTGCCATCGACTGGCACTCAGCACCTGCATCTTTCCTCCCACTCCCCGGCCACACACAGCCAGCTTGCTCCAGAGCTCACAGTGCGAGGCAGTGGGTCAAGCAGCCAAGTGACCGTGGAGACCATGAGAGGGGGCTGATAAAATGATACCCCTAACGACTGGGTTGATACAATAAGATCCCTAACAACTGGCAGTGTGAAAACCAACAAACACAAGCAGCTCTCCAAACTCCTCTGCTCTCCTGATCCCAAAAGTCCATGGGGTGGACTTTTAAATCCTCTTGCTTTGCATAGCTGACCTTACCTCCCCCCTGCACCCCAACCACTGCCATCGCGTAGGAAAAATACGTACAGTTTATATAAATAGCCATTATCCCCATTTACGCCCCCTGTTTTTGTTTTTACTCTTGAATGAACACAGAAATATGTCCGAACCAAATCAGCGCTCGGTGATCAGTGTGTTCAAACATGTGTGCATATCTTCTGTCTCTGGGGCAGCTAATGCATGCAGCTGGTGAATGGTTAATTACAAGCCTTGGGGATCAGGATATTTGCAGGCCATTCTTAGGGTGAGTCATCTTCTCATCCCCTCCTCCAGCAATCTCCTCTCTTCCCCCTCCCCACTCAACCTAGCTTCCCTGAGGTCATTTCTGCAAATACGAGATTGTTCATCACAGAAAGCTAGGCTGCGCTTCGGTTTGAATCAATAAATAATGGAATCCTCATCAGCACCGAGGGAGGTTATTTTATCTTTCTGCAAGCTCTTCCTCCCCTGCTACACAACCACTCTCACCCTGCTGGGGCCGAGCTCACCCAGAATGAAACTGCACCTACACAGACGAAAGATGTGAAATACTCAACCCTAGAAACCAGAAAGCAAGGGAAGGAATGGGGGCCGCATATAACTTGGTGTGTGACGGCTCTGCACTAGCTGCCCTGCCCTGTCCCACATCCCCAGGATGCTTGGTGACCTGGTGGGGTGGGGGTGACCTGCTTATACCTTATCTCATCACTGAAACTTGAGGTGAGACCACCTTAGCCCTTAAGTAGCTAACACCTCCTCCCAGCTCCCCTACACCTAAGGAGAAAAGGAATAAAAGGGGAAACCTCAAAGATTTTTTTTTCTGGTGGTTTTATGGCCCATTATTCATGAAGTCAGTGCTACAAGACCCCCAAAACACCCTTCTGAGCAGTGCACAATGCTTCAGGATTATTTATATCTCCACTGTCCCAGAGAGCTTCCCCCCGACCACAGCAGCTTCCTGGGGGTCTGTGGCCCTGGTGAATCAGCAGCGCTGCCCACTGAGTCACTGGCTCCTCAAGCACATCGGATCTGAAACTGAGCTGTGGACTTCACTGCCCTGAACCTGCGACCCAGAGCACTTCCAACAAAGCCAAAGAACAGCAGTGTGAAAAGAGGCAAACTTTTTCATCCACTAAGAGAGGATGATAAGGGTCTTTTTTAGCCCCAAATCGACAGGCTTTCGAAAGAAGACACTTTGCAACACACGAAAGGTAGGAAGCAGTGCCTACATCAAAACCCCACCCCACATCAACTGCCCACAGCCACAGTTACCACTTCAAAGCTGGGGCTGGTACAGGAGGAGGGAAGGACGATCTTGTGGCTGAACGAGCAGCTTGAGAGTCAGCAGAGTTAATTCAGCCCCCGCTTTGCCACAGGCTTCCCAGCGTGACCCCGGGGAGGTTTCTTCATCTCTAGTTTGATGAGGGCCATAAGGGTTTGCCTGGTCCAGCATAGTACAAGTGTCCCTGCCCTGCAGCAGCAGAATCGGTGCTTTTGGGGTGACTGTCAGACCCCAGGGCAGGCTGGCAGTGCCCGGACAGGGCTAGGGTGGTGGAAAACTGGCCTGAGGGTCTCCTTCACCCTTGGTACGGGGCAATACCCAGGCTGGAAGTGCCTCTACCCTGGCGGGGATGCCCTCCGAGCACTGTTCTTACACGAGGCACAAACATCAGGACAAAAACCAGTGTGATAAAAGGCTTAATAAAAGTGAATTAACCCCGGCCGGTGAGGACACAGGGGCAGAGTTTATTCAAGAAACATTGCTTGGTTTTCTCCTCCATTTATGGCCTCCCCATGGTCTCAGCACATGGCAAGGAGGGGTGTTTAGGAACTCCTCCTTCGGCGTGGCCCCCCCCACAGGGAGCCCCGCGGCCCCGGGCGGGCGCTGGCCTTCCGGAGGGAGGCACGGCTGCAGAGGGAGGACGGGGGCCTGAGAAAACAGAGAGGGCAAAAGGACAAAGGCGCTGCCCGGAGAAACGGAGGGAAGGCAGGGGTGGGAGGGCAGAGAAAGGGCTGGCTGCTATATTTTTTTTAATCGTTTTATTATCCCTGGGTTACATGGGAGGAAAACAAAGAACCGCAATCAAAGGGCTATTATACACGTGGGTGGAGAAGGCATTTCTGTCCCCCACAAAGGCCGGAGTTTCGGCTGTAGGTTTCCCTTGCCAGCCTCGATACGCTCAATGGAGGGACAAACCTTTCCTCAATGGAGAGACGAACCTCTCCGCTCCTGGTGGGGAGCGGGCACCCATCGATCCCCGGGGTTCAGGGGCCCAACACGGGCCGCCCCGTGTCACCGGGAAGAGAGCGAGAAGCGGTGGCCTCGGCTCTCCTCTTACCCGCGGGGTTGGTTTTATTTTCCATGCAGCCCCAACCTCTCTCGACCCCCTCTCCCTTTGCTAGTCTGCAACTTTTGCCCTTCTTCCCTAATTTTGTTTTTTTTTTTATCAGCCTCTTAAACGCGCGGCAGGGGTGAGCGGAAAGGCATATGGGCTCAGCCCGCAGAGTCTATCCGGGATTTAGTTCTAGTGGGTGGAAAAAAAAACCCCGAAATCCCGGCGT